TCAACAAGCTCAGCGACTAAGGCGGACGCAGCAGCAGACTCAAACGACGGGTCAGTGACAACTGTGGCTAGCAGACGCGTGACAGTAGAGTGAGCAGCACGGGTGCGGTCAGACTCAGGCTCAAGAACGGTAGGCAGAGAAGACGCAGGAGGGGACGGCAGGGGAACACGCTACGGAGGTGAGGAAGGACGACGGACTACGAGGTGGGTGCCGGTGACAGCCGGCTGACGCGAACGAGGAACAAGACGACCAGGACGACCAGAACGGACAGGCGAGACTGGACGCGACGCAGGCTTACGAGGCTCAACAAGACCCCCTGTTTGCTCAGCGTAAGGAGAAGGAGCAGACAGCGGTGAGCCAGGCTGTAACGAAAGACCAGTAGACGAAGGGAGACTAAGAACCTGGTGAGGTACAGAGTCTGACGATGGCTGAGACGATAGAGACGGTGGAGCGAAGAGCAGGTGCGGCTGTGCAGCGCCACCAGCACCAGCTGCTCCAGCACCCCCAGCAGCTCCAGCACCTCTAGCAGCTCCAGAACCCTCAGCGCCAGCTCGTCTAGGACCAGCTTCATCAGCACCAGCACCCCCAGAACCGGCACCTCCAGTCCCAGGGTCTCCAATCTCAGTGTCTCCAGTAGCAGCACCCCCAGACTCAGGGTCTCCAGCAGGAGCACCCTCAGGCTCAGCACCTTCAGCCCCAGCAGCTCCAGTACCTCCAGTACGAGCACCTCCAGGACCAGCACCACTCCCAGCTCCAGTGACGCCAGCAGAAGTACCTCCAGCGGTAGAGCCCCGAGCTCCAGAAGCGCGACCCTGACGGCGACCGTACCAGTCGTGCAGCTGCTGTTACGTGATAGGCACACGCGGACGAAGGCGGCTACTCCAAGGAGACCGCACAACAGCAGACTCAGAACCCTCAGCGCCAGCACCCGCAGCAGCTCCAGAACCTCCAGCGCCAGCACCCGCAGCAGCTCCAGAACCTCTAGCGCCAGCACCCTCAGCAGCTCCTGAACCTCCAGCTCCAGAACCTCCAGGAGAAACAACTCCAGTAGCAGAGACACCAGCACCAGCGCCTCCCGCAGCAGGGCCCCTAGCTCCAGCAACGCGACCCTAACGGCCAACGTACCACTAAAGCAGTTGCTGTGGGGAGAGAGGGAGTCAAGGACAAGAGTGCAGCGGCGAGGTACCAGCAGAGCGACTACGGAGACGGCCGTCCCAGGGAGACTGCTCACCAGACGCCTCAGCGCCCCCAGGTGCAGCACCCCCAGATGCAGTACCCCCAGGCTCAGCACCCCCAGACTCCTCACGTCCAGGCTCAGTACCTCCAGTCTCCACACCCCCAAGCTCCGCACCTCCAGGCTCCGCACCCCCAGGCTCAGCACCCCTAGGCTCCGCACCCTCAGGCTCAGCACCCCCAGAAGCAGTACCCCGAGCAAGACCACCCTCAGTAGGACCTGAGTCACCAGTGACCTCAACCGGCGTAGACAAGGGAGGAGGGTCTACCTGAGACACACCTGAAGGAGCAGGACCGGGAGCGGGGAGGGGGTCTACCTGGGGAGCACCTGGAGCGAGGAAGAGCGGCGGGGGGGGGAGAGGGGCAGTGCGGTAGGGGAAGAGACGGTAAAAGGGAACCGACTCGTCGAACGTGACGTCCTGGGAGGGGAAGACACAGCGCGAGGTGGGGTGGTAAAACTGCCAACCAGGCGCGTCAGGGACAAAGCCAAGGAAGACACAGGGAAAAGCACGGGCGGAGAGCTTGTCCGCGGTGGTATCGCGGACAAAGGCACGAGCACCTAAGACCCGGAAACGCGACGCATCGCCAACCTTCCCCGTCCACAGCAGTGTGGGCGAGGTTCTCCGGCAAGGAGACACGGGGCCAGAGGTTGAGCTGATGCGCAGCGTACCGGACCGCAAACGGCCACAGAAAATGGGGGGCAGCCGCATGGATCATGGAGGTACGAGCGACCTCCATGACTAAGCCAATGCGGCGCTCAGCAACCCCATTCTGCTGCGGAGAGGCCGGAAGCGTGAATGTCTGGCGGATGCCGTGCTCCGCAGAGAAGGCTGCCAAGAGGTCGGAGGAAAACTCCCCACCTCTGTCAGAGTGCACACGCAGGATGGGAACTCCGTCGCGAACCACTCGCGGAGCTGGAGACGAGTAGCGCGGATCCAAAGGATCAAAACATCAAGGATCTCACCCTTGGTGCGCAAGGGGAAGACTGTGGTGTAGCGCGTGTAGTCGTCGACGACCAGCAGGAAGTACCGCTCGTGGCCCTGTCCACGGACGCGGGCTGGGCCCCACACGTCCAAGTGGAGAGTTTGCAGGGGAGCCTCTTTGGGAGGGAACGAGGAGTGAGGAGCGGCGCGCTGCCGCCCCTCGATACAGGGAAGACAGGGAGGAGCAGGCGAGGGTGGGAGGGGAGGGAGAACCCTGGGAAGACCAGAGACAAGGACACGGCGGTGCATGTTGCAAAGGCGCTGCACCGAGGGGTGACCAAGGCGGTGGTGCCAAAGGAGGGTCTAGTGCGACAAGGCGCGACACGAGCAGGGGGCCGATAACTGACCTGGCGCAGACGCAGACGCAGCTACCTGAGGGGACGCAGTGTTCAGTGTGTACAGGCCCGACCCCGGCTGCCGAGTGAAGGTAGCCAGGTGACGACCTGTCTGAGCACACATGCAGTGTGTCACACGCTCGTAGGTAGGGGTGAATTGGTGAACACCCGCGTCCTGGAGCGCAGAACCCGCCACCAAGTTCGTAGAGAACGAGGGGAGGTAAAGACCCGACAGTGTGCCAGACGGGACAGCAGGACAAGGGAGGACAGTGGAGGAGGTCGCACGGACTGGACCCCCAGAGGGGTCTGCCAGGGAGACTGGAACTGATCGGCTGAGCAGCGTGAGGGTGGTGCTGTTGCGAAAGAAGGAGCGAGAAGCACCAGAGTCAAATGTGAAGGTGTACAAGGCATCAGCAGGCGCAGTACCAGAGAGAGCAGACTCACCAGCACCTGAAGCACCAGCCTCACCAGCACCTAGAGCAGGAGACGCACGAGCACCTAGGGCAGCAGCCTCACCAGCACCGAGAGCAGCAGGCTCTATATCTGGGTCAGGCGGTACGCACAGGTAACAGGCACGGTCAGCACTAGTAGGCAATGCATACATGGCAGTGAGAATAGCATCATAGTCAAGAGCTTATATATCTACCCTCTGCCCAAGCAACTCCACCCAGTCGGGGAGCTCAGCCTCGTCGCCAAACTCGGTACGCCAGGCGTCGCTCAGACGGGCGAAGCAGCGGGACTGTGTGCGACTAAGTGTCCCGCAAGCCTGACCCGTCCGATCACCTGTGCGAATGACGTACGGGCTGCGAACGGTACTCAAAGACCCTCTACTCTGAGCGTACCACTCACGAAGCTGCTGGGACGTAAGTGTCTCGCGCGGACGTCGCTGCAGCTGTAGCTGGCCACCGCCAGACGCTCCCGACTGACCATCTCCAGGGCTACAGCCACGACGGCTACCACCACAACCCCAACTAGCGTACCACTCACGAAGCTGTTGAGGCGTGAGAGACTCGCGCGGACGTCGCTGGAGCTGCATCTGGCCACTGCCAGTAGCAGCAGTAGCAGAGGTAGTGGCAGTAGTAGCAGCAGCAGCGCGGGTAGGGCAGGCGCGGCAGGCATGTAGGTAGGCAGGCAGGCAGGCAGACAGGCAGGCAGGCAGGCAGGCAGACAGGCTGGCAGGCAGGCTGGCAGGCTGGCAGGCAGGCAGTGCGCTAAGAAGGCAGGTGCTCACCAGTGGCGGGAAGAGCAGGCGCTCGCCATTCGAGCAAGGCCGGCGCTCAGCGGGCGGCTGCACGGGGTCCAGGGGCGGCGTCGCGGGTCCAGGGGCGGCGTCGCGGGGTCCAGGGGCGGCGTCGCGGGGTCCAGGGGCGGCTGCACCAGGGGCGGCTGCTTTAGGGGCTAGGGGCGGCTGCTCTGGGTCCAGGGGCGGTTGTTCGAGGGTCCAGGGGCGGCAGCTGCAGGGGCCAGGGGCGGCTGCTCAGGGTCCAGGGTCAGCTGCTCGAGGGTGTAGGGGCGGCTGCACCAGGGGCGGCTGCTGTAGGAGCCACGGGCGGCTGCTCTGGGTCCAGGGGCGGCTGCTCGAGTGTCCAGGGGCAGCCGTGGCGCGCGGGCCTGAAGCGCGCAACGCGAGCTGCAGGCGCGGCGCGCGAAGTCGCCGCGGGCTGCGCGAGGACGGCAGCGGCGGCGCGCGGAGCTGCAGCTCGACATGCGGGCAGCGGACGCGTCGCGCGGGGCTGCAGCGCGACGCGCGAGGCTGCAGCGCGACGTGCGGGCAGCTGACGCGACGCGCGGGGCTGCAGCGCGACGCGCGAGGCTGCAGCGCGATGCGCGGGGCTGCAGTGCGACGCGCGGGGCTGCAGCACGCAGCGCGGGCTGCGGACGTGGCGCGCGGAGCAACAGCGAGCCGCGCGCGAGCTGCTGCAGGGCGGGGCCAGGTCGGGCCGCGTCAGTGGCAGGTCATGGCTGCGAGGAGGGGCGGCGCTCTGGCCTGACGGGCCTGCAGGGGCGGCTCGCGGGCTTGACGGGCCTGCAGGGGCGACGTGCGGGCCGTACGAGTCTGCAGGGGCGGCGCGCGGGCCTAGGGCAGCAGTAGGGAGCGCGAGGGCTGCAGGACGGCGCGCGCAGCGCAGCACGTCACAAGGCAAGGCAGGCAACATGTGGGGTAGCGTGGTAACCGCAACGGTAGGTGGGCCCGGAAAAAAAAAAGACGGTCCTACGGACCTAGTGCTCTGAAACCATGTTAGAAACTAGCAGCAGGAATGAATGAACTATGAAAGAGTTGGGTACAAGTATGAAACCCTAAAAGGGGCTGTACCCCATATTGGCTACCCCACTACAGCCTAAACATATATAGCATATATATACTTTGACACCTTCCGGCGTCGTTCTCCCTTCCGCTCGTCGCCCTCCCTTCCGGCGTCGCCCTTCCTTCCGCCCGTCGCCCGTCGCCATGCCTTCCGCCCGTCGCCCTCCCTTTCGCCCATCGCCCTCTCTTCCGCCCGTCGCCCTCCCTTCCGCCCGTCACCCTTCCTTCGTCTCGTCGCCCTCCCTTCGTCTCGTCGCCCTCCCTCCCTCCCATTGCCCTCCCAACCACCCGCCGCCCTACCTTCCCCTCGTTGCACTCCCTTCCGTCCGTTGGCCCCTTTGCCTCGTCGCGCTCCCTGCTGCTCATCGCCCTCTCTCCCGCTCATCCACTCTCAATCCCCGTATCTCTCTCCCCTCATCGCCCTGGCATCCCCGTCACTGTCGCCATCCCTCCCTTCTCCCTTCCCAACTCGTTTGGACCAGACACGCCCCCTTTCCAACCAGCACACACCCGTCCCTTCCCCCAATGATCGCCTTTCACCACCACACTGCTTACCTCGCTCCTTCCCTACATTCACCTGCGGGCTGCCCACTGTCCTTCGGATAGCTCTCTCCTCAGCATCTCCCCAGCTCCCCACGTCCTACTTCCCCCTATCCTCTTCAGTGTTTCCCCTGGGTTTCCCGTGCTGCTTCCCCCCATCCCCTTCCCTGCTTCCCCGTGTCCCCTTCCCTGCTTCGCCCCATCCCCTTCCCTGCTTCCCCATGTCCCTTTCCCTGCTTTCCCCCATCCCCTTCCCTTCTTTCCCATGTCCCTTTCCTTGCTTCCCCCCATCCCCTTCCCTTCTTCCCCCCATCCTTTTGCCTGCTTCCCCGTGTCCCCTTTCCTGCTTCCCCTTGTCCCCTTCCCTGCTTCCCACCCTTCCCTGCTCTCCCATGTCCCTTTCCCTGCTTCCCCCCATCCCCTTCCCTTCTTCCCCACATCCCTTTATATGCTTCCCCCCATCCTGTTCCCTGCTTCCCCCCATCCCCTTCCTTGCTTCCCCGTGTCCCCATCCCTGCTTCCCCGTGTCCCCTTCCCTGCTTCCTCGTGTCCCCTTCCCTGCTTCCCCGTGTCCCCTTCCCTGCTTCCCCGTGTCCCCTTCCCTGCTTCCCCGTGTCTCCTTTCCCTGCTTCCCCTTGTCCCCTTCCCTGCTTCTCGGTGTCCCCTTCCTTGCTTCCCCATGCCCCTTTCCCTGCTTCCCCCCATCCCCTTCCCTTCTTCCCCCCATCCCCTTTCCTGCTTCCCCCCATCCCCTTTCCTGCTTCCCCCCATCCCCTTCCCTGCTTCCCCATGTCCCCTTCCCTGCTTCCCCATGTCCCCTTCCCTACTTCCCCCCATCCCTTTCCCTGCTTCCCCCCATCCCGTTCCCTTCTTCACCCCATCCCCTTCCCTGCTTCCCCCCATCCCCTTCCTTGCTTCCCCATGTCTTCTTCCTTGCTTCCCCCCATCCCCTTCCCTGCTTTCCCATGTCCCTTTCCCTGCTTCCCCCCATCCCCTTCCCTTCTTCCCCCCGTCCCCTTCCCTGCTTCCCCATGTCCCCTTCCCTGCTTCCCCATGTCCCCTTCCCTGCTTCCCCCCATCCCCTTCCCTGCTTCCCCATGTCCCTTTCCCTCCTTCCCCCCATCCCCTTCACTTCTTCCCCCCATCCCCTTCCATGCTTCCCCCCATCCCCTTCCAAGCTTCCCCATGTCCCCTTCCCTGCTTCCCCCCATCCCCTTCCCTTCTTCCCCCCATCCCCTTCCTTGCTTCCCCATGTCCCCTTCCCTACTTCCCCATGTCCCCTTCCCTGCTTCCCCCCATCCCCTTCCCTTCTCCCTCCCATCCCCTTCCTTGCTTCCCCCCATCCCCTTCCCTGCTTCCCGGTGTACCCTTCCCTGCTTCCCCGTGTCCCCTTCCACAGCAATCACACGCACCACTTGTCTGCTCTTCATATTCTCCCTTAGATTCCTCTTCACATGTTTTGCAGAACCCTGGTCTGCACTTTGCCTGACTGCATGTCTGCCTGCGTTTGATCTGTGTGCATGCCTGCGTGCGTGCATGCGTTGACGGTATGTGTGTGCGTGTGCACGTCCACTCAGGACCTGATGCCATTCATCGACCGTGACCCCGTGGGAGGCGCACCCGGTGCTGGTGGGGAGGTGTGGCCGCCCAAGAAGCTCCGTGATGTGCCTACAGAAGGAAAGTGGGAGCGGGGGTGTGGGCTGTGGGGAGCTGCGAGGAGGACGAGGAGGAGCAGCCACACGTGGCGCTGGCAGCTTCCATGGAGGGGCACACAGAGGAAGAGGGGGCCGAGGTGGAAAGGTGGGCAAGGTGGGGAGCAAGGTGGGGACATGGGCCCATGCAGGGCAGCACGGACGACGCCTCTCGTGCGGCTAAGGGTCAGGAGCAACAAGGGGCGTGGGCAGGAGGGGCAACAAAGGAGGAGGTTGAGTTACCAGAGGAGCCCGTAGTGCGCATTCCAGCCAGCCGTTGCATTGCCATTCGTTGCCCGGATGGCACTCGGCTGCAGTGTCAGTTCCGGGCCCAGGCACTCTCTCCACGTGGTGTCCCCATCCTTCAAAACAACCTGCTTGCCACCCATCCCGCGCCTGCGCACTGTCCTTCCTGCCATGCTTGTTCCCTTGCTATCCAACTCACTCCCTTGTTCTCCCACGCCCCACTCCCCACCCCCCCAGCTGCTGGAAAGCAGATCTACGATTGGATCCGCCCCGAGGCGAACCCCTCGGCGCAGCGCCACGCCGGTTACGGAGCAGCAGCAGACCATGGCGCACTTCGGCGGGTTCTGAGAGATAGGGCGCGCAGCTGGCAGAACTGCGAGGCAGCCTCCTCTCGAGACTGCCTTCAGCCTCCCCTGCTGCCCCATACCGTATGCCAAACTGCGCCCGATAAGGCACTGCATTTGATGTTGCCGCCCTCCTTGCGTGTATGGAGGGATTGGCAGCTGCAACGCGTGACAGCCAACACTGTGCAGGCAACTGTGTTGAATCTGGATCATGGGGCAAAGGCATTTGAAATGAGTAGAGCTGTGTGGTGTGGTCAGTGCGGAGTGGCGTGGGAGGAAGGCGCAAGAAGGCAAGCACAGAGTGAAGAGGTCACGGCACGATATGGAGATTGGCAGCAGGGATTGACTTGTGGGTCGTTCTTTGTTTGGTGCCAATGGTTTATAGGCTGAATTGGGTTTACTTGTTGATGATACTGCTTACAAGGGGTGTACTGTGTATGCCCTATCCCAATCTTGACCCAATCTCCAACGCGTAATAAGACACGACGAAATGAGCTTGTGCCTAGCTGTGGTATTCCCTACCAAACATACACAACATAGCCAATGTGAAGCATACTAGTATCCAGCAATGTTTTCTCGGTATAAAGGCATGTCATACATGGTGAAAACGCAGCCCGCCAAGGAATGTTTAGGTTGGTACGTAGCACTTCAAATCCGTGAAGCACACTTGCCATTTTAGAATCAGACACATCGTAGTAAGCCGGTTTGAATGAACTGCAAGTTCACCAAGCATGACACGCCCTTAGAGAAACAACTTGCTGTTGCCTATAAACTAAATCCAATTTCCCCAAGATCCATTGTGAGATTTATGCAATAGTAGCACTCAAGACGGTCGAGCTGAATATGTCCAGGTAAGCCCAGTAGAGAGGAGTGGCGGGGAGTGGCGGCGTTTGGCAAATGAAAGGAGGGGTAGAGGGGAAATTTCAAGGGGCGCTCCTTGCTGGAGCTTTGCAATGCTTGATTTGCAGAGGGGGGAGGGGGGGATGGGGGGGTTGTGGGGGGAGCGGGGTGGGGGGCAGAGGAGAAGAAGATGGTAAAGGGAGCTGACAACAAGGAGGAGGGGCAGAAGGTTGAAAAGCTGGCTCTCACTGCTTATTGCGTGCTATGGCTGCCAGAACGTGGGGGAGTGGGGGGTGGTGGGGAAGGGTTGAAAAGAAGGGGGAGAGGGGAGGTGGGAAAGAGGCAAGGTGATTGTCTTAGGGATGGCCTGTTTATGTGTCATGGGAAGGCTGTGAGAGTTGTCGGTGGAGCTAGGAGAGAGGAGAGGGAAGAGGAGATGGCATGGGATATCATGCACTAGTGCAGATGCCAAATGCACCAAAGGTCAACTGCAACACACCAAAGTCACCTGTACTGCACCAGGTGTCAGTAGCCACTGGGCGGCAGGCGTCCCGGGTGGCCGAGGCTTCCACCAGGGAAAGCCGCCCTGCCACCTCCATGTCCCTCTGCGAGTACGGCAGCAGCGGCACTCCCTGCACTAGCGGGACCAATTTTAGGCGCTGACATGGGATGTATCGCAGGGATGGGGAATGGGGAGACGAAACAACTGAAGGTTGTTGGCCAAGAGGAAGGGCTTGATGGAGACAAGGAAGCGTGGAGGGGAGAGGGGGGGATAGATTTGAAGGCCCACTAGTGTTGGTGTTTGAGGATAAACAATGACAATAGTAGGGTTCATTAAGGTGTGTCAGATCCACTAAAGGATATTCTGGCTGGTTTTTAGTCGGCCATATGGTCCACAAAATCTTTCGCGAAAGTCAACTGCGTGGTCGACTTCGTAGTCGACCACTTATCGGCCAAATCTACGAATTGTAAAAATCAGACACATTTGGTGGCCGATTTGCAGGCCATTTGAGAAAGTGTCCGATTTGCAGTCGCAGGTTTGGCCGGATGTGCGACGGTATCGTATGTTTTGACAGGATTGGTTCTTTCATAGTTACATGTGCAGTTCTATCGCATGCATTAGTGTGCAAAGTCGCATGGTCACTGTAGCTCAGCCTGGTCGACAAAGTGGTCGCTCTCGAGTCGACTGCACGTCAGATTGATGCCGACTTTTGAAACGGCCACCAGATCCGACAACAAGTGGTCTCATTTGGCGACGTTTTTTAAATTACATGCGAATGTCGCCACGGTGTTACTTTCGCCAAAACCGGCCAGTCGGATTAGAGCGAAAACGGATCTGACACACCCTTATTACCATGGGCGAGCACATGGGCGTTGTTGATACCGGAAGCGATGCAGCGTGGCGGTCAAAATGATACTGTTGGACCTTTCTGAACCCCATAGGTGTGTCGTGGATGTTTAACGTGGATAGTTGGTGACGTCACCTGTAACATTTGCACAAACAAAAAGTGTCGGTCAAGTTGATGAGATATGGTACGAGATGTTGCAAACGTGCAACTAGTCTCACCTAGAAGTCTGCGCGCAGCACCATGCATCGATGGCCGACCTCGACCCCTCCCACTACGTCGGACAGGTGTAGCGGGCTGCTGTACAGATGGGTGACCCCCTCCATCAGATATGTCAGCGGACTGCTGTTCCGATCCTTGGCTCCTTGATGCATCTTCAATAATATCGTCGTCAACACCATCCCCTAACAATCGTTGCCACTCCGACATGATCCGATCAACCGACGACCAATCCATCGGTCCTAGTTTTTTATCCTTGTTGCCCCGACGCACCCGCGTCACTTGCCGTACTCGTGTGTGATAGGAAGAGACCAATCTATCCATCGAGTTATTCCAATGCAAGACAACAAGAGCCACCCGTGGCACAAGACTATCCTGGAACCGAATACGCTTAGGGGCGTATTTGAGGATCAAAGAATGGAATGACTCATTGACAGGTCTATTGGCTCCGTGAACAAAAGATTTCACCTTTTGTGGCGATAACCGTTTCTTGAACCAAGTAAACACCGCCTTGTGCATTTCTGACCCTGGCTCATAAAGAGCACATTCCCTCCCCCAATTCTCAGTAACACACCTTGGCGGGACACCACCAGACTTTCCACACCCGGAATGGTCACCCGCCCAATGGTTTGGTGCCGTCCCAATCTCCCTCGCCACATCATCAGGGGTCATAGGGGTGCCTGTTTCCTTCATCCTCCCAGCGTGCATCATCACATGGAAAAAATGCGAACCGAAGCGCTGCGCCACCGTTCTCTCTTCATCGCCTGCGAGTACCTCATCTCCACCCCGTTTTCGTTTCCGGCGCCCAACCCACTGAGGCAAAGTCTGTCCAATTCCGCTTCCTGCTGCATCACCATCGTGCACTGCACCCTCGTTGTTGCTTGTAGGGTTAGTCTCTGTTGGGTCCGAACCACCCATGCCATCATCTCCAGGTGAACGGCAATATTGGAGGGAGACATGACTGAGTAACCAATCCACATGAGCAGTTAAAATTTCTCTTATGTGAGCATTCTTACCGGTCAATTCGTCAGCGTTGGCCCACGGAGTCATCCCACCGATTGACCGTGAGACATCGCCTGCACCAGCATGTGCATGCACGATGAATGCACTTGCCACAGACGAGGGTCGCGCGCCGTGGATTGGATGCAAATCGTAACTCCAAAGCTCCACATCCGGCCACTGCATGTGAACTTGTGTATTGCCCAATTCCTCTTCGTCAACCACTTCATCGATTGCAGTGGTCCGCCTATCTCCTGTTCGGCCAGATCGCGCATCTCATTGCTGAGATTAAGGAACCAGAGAGGGATTTTTTACTAACGATCGCCAGGGTATGGCAACAGAGCCAATTACTACTATGCGCGAGACACCATTTATAGAATGACAGCAAACCAATACTGTGTAAACGCAACAGCAACTAGTGTTGCGGATAGCTCTGTGCAAACTGACCTGCCAGGGCGATGGTGCGATGTGCTGTTCTTCCTGTGGCAGTCTTATCAATCGATAATAGACAAGTTTTGTGCCCCGAATGTAGCAACAAGTTTGAAAAAACATGCAAACCCGAACAGCAGCAGCACAAAGGCAACCAGAGCCAATTGCCGCAATGCATGAGGCACGAGACATTGATGGACGAGAACGAGCTCATCTGCAAAGGCAGCAGCACGAGATTTTGATGACAAATGACCTGCCAGGGACTGTTGCGATGTGTTGTTGTTCTTGTGGCCACCCAAAGAAATGGATGATTCCCAATCTCAGAAGCGCAATGGCTGAAGCAACACGGCCTGCAAGGAGATCAAGAACAAGGGAAGCGCAAAGACTACAATACCAAGTGCTACTCTGCATGCGGCGCCATGTGCTGTTGTGCAGGATAATGTGAGATGGATGGATGACTGCAAAACAGAGTATGAAGTCAACAAGCTGGAAAACGGGTAAGGGCTGAAAGACAAATGAAGTGCAAAGGCAGCACCACCACGCGCAGCTGTGCCTGCGGCAACAATGAGGCACTATAAGCCAAAAAACAGCAGCGCAATGGTAACGATAACTTGTAATTATGTGCATGTAGATGGGGTGTGAGAAGTGCAAAGGCTGAAGCAACATTGGCTGCAGATAGGTGGGGAATGTGACAGTGATGAAAGACTAGCTATCTACAAAGGCAGCAGCACCACGTGCTGCTTTCCCTGCGGCCTAAGGAATCGGGCATGCAAACCCGAACAGCAGCAGCGCAAAGGCAGCAGAGCCTATTACCGCAATGCATGAGGCATCAGACATTGATGGACGACAACCACCCAATATGCGACTGCAACGGCATTGAAGAGCTGAGTGCAGATGTAAAACCAGAGAGGGCTAGACGACAACTCAGCTGCCAGTGCAGCGTGGCAAGAAATCGAGATGAACACAAATTTAGCGACCAGCGCAGTGCACAGGCTGAAGTAACTAGGCCTGCAGATAGCTGGAAAACCAAACAAGGATGGTAGATACGTGATTTGCAAAGCCAGTGCGTCACCAGCAAGGCATGCAAACCAACACATCAGCAGCTATCATGTTTGTGCTTGAGGCACCAGAGAGAGATGGTTTGTTGACTCACAACTGCACTGCAAAAGCAGCAGAGCCAAGTTTTGCTATGCTTGCGGCACTAGTGAAAGGGTGGACAAGAGACCATTGCAATGTGCAATTCATTATGTTCCTTCAAAAACTTGGACCGCATGAATGATTACCGATCCACAGTGGCAGCAGCACCAACTCTTGCTATGCTAGTGGCACCTGCGAGGCACTAAAAGCGAAACAGCAGCTATGCAATGGCAGCAGGAACTCATGATGATGGGGATGGGGAATGAACGAGTCCAATGGCAGCACATAGGCTGTTGCAACACAGTGGTTCTAACCCTAACTCAACGGGTGATAACGCATTCTTAGTCGCTGCCGAAGCGATAGTGGCTTCAACCCTTGCAGCACCTCCTGTTCACATGCCTGAGAGTAACATCAGTGATG